TGATTGACACATCACCATTATGTACCTCTAGCATTATTCTTAAAGGTAAAAAACACTTACAAAAGGATAGGAGATGAAGAAGCGCATCATGGACCATTAGATGGAAAAATAGGAGGGAAAATTAATTGCCAGATGCCACCATACTAAAACGGCGTCGTTTTTGGCAAAACTTCCCAAGGAAGCTAATTTGGGTGCACGACAGCTCATCGAAAGTAGAAAGCGACACCTGTCCAGTCTATTTATGGCTATAATAAAAATGGAACATGGAAAAGTGAACCAGTCACGTCCAAGGTCAGTCCGTCACCTAGGCAAGAACTGACCTGGAGGGGTAACTGTTAACATCCGACTTGCGACCTAATTAAAGACAAATTGTTACATACACTTAGTATATCTTAATCTGAGATCGACTTTATAAGGTCTGCTCGTAACGTCGTGGTTTGAGGGAACATAATATTATAGATTTCTTACACATTAATAAAACATCAAATCAAATTAATTATTGCATTCAGAATTTACGTTAGCGCCCACTTATTTCACCAATTATATGATGTAGCTTCACTTACTCACTAGCTCATTAATTGCTAGGGACCCACTTAAAGGATTGTTTTATGATATCCTGACAAAGCCGACCTCGGCAACCAACGGAGATATGCCAGTAACGTAATTTTTCAGTTCGGCACTGGTGATTGACAAGACAAGGAAATGGGTGATACTGGCTTTTTTTTTTCCTATAAAAGGGTGCGAAGTATGTTTGGATAGGGGAGAGAAGTCTGGGATATTTAAAATATCTCATTTGATAAAACACTTGTAACTTAGAAGTGATTATCAATAAAAATCTTGAGTTTCTCTTTATTTTGCTTTCAAAGTTGACTTAAATTGATTCTTACACTTTTTAATGCCAATAATTTTAATAAATTTGGGATTGAAAAATAAGTTTTGACTTATAAATGAGATTTGTGACGGTGACGTTGTAATTATGATTAATACATAATTATGATCATAAATTATATAATATTATGACTTTAATATATTTAATTAATGAAATATATTTTAAATTAATTATTTAATAAATAAAAT